TTTAACGGCCCGTTGCCCTCGCCCCCCCCCCCCCCCCCCCGGCGCAGCCCAAAAGCGGCGAGGGTGCCCACTGACGACTACCTCGCGCCACCTCCCTCCTCCCCGTTGCTCAGCGGGCCAGTCAGACGATACACGACGAGATGCCTGCAAGGCACTACTCTCACCTCTCAGCACGCAGAGAGGAGGGAGGGGCCGGAGAGCCTCCCTGGCGGAATTATCCCCACGTTTCAGCCGCCGTCCGGGGCCGTCCACGGCGCGGTAAGGTGCCCCCCCCCCCTGAGGCTGGCGCGGTCATTCCCACCCCGGCCGCCCGGGCATGACCGTGCAGCTCAGCCCACCGGCCCGACCATGCATGCACACATAAGCACCACCCGGCAGGCGGGACGGGGCAAGGGAGAAACTTGGTCAGCACATCCTCGCCCGTGGCCGGCCCTGCCCGGGGCAACAACGTCGCCCGGGTGTGACCCGGGAGGGGGGGGGGAGGCCGGTGGCCGAAACACTGGCCTCGCAGCCATGACACGCCCATCCCCACCCAGGCAGGCATGCGCCCCCACACCAGGCCGAACAGCCGGCCCCCTCGGGTCGAGGGGCGCAGGCAGAGCCAGGCTGGCTCGGGGGCCAGGGAGGATTGGGTGGCACGGCCGTGTCCGGCAGGCAGCGGGAGCCCCCCGAGACCGAGGCCACAAGTCAGCAGCACACAAGGGCATGGAGACCGGCAAGTGAAGGCAAGGAAACCCTATCGAGAGGCGCCTCACGTGTTTCTTCCCTCTGAGGGAGATAATCCGGTCATCCTTCTGGCATCTTCACCCTGGAGTGGGTGTGTGCGAGCGTGTGGGAGAGCCGGCTTTCCATCGCTGCCCGTCGCGAACCGTGTGTGTGGGAGACGCCCCCCCCCCCCCCCTCCTCCCCGGCGAAGCCGGACTAATGGGCCTTTTATATGGGGGCTTTTTTCTGCGACACGCCGCCGCGAGCAGCCGGGGGAGCACCAGTCACAAGCCGACCCCATGATATTAAGGAGAGATCACAGCAGATGCGTTGGCATGCGTGTTTCTTGCGGGAGGCAAACCTGGAGTCCTTGCCACGGCGAGCCCAGGATGGGGGGCGGCACATGTGTTTACACAAGGATCGCCTTCTCGGTTTATGGCTCGCGGTCCGCCCCCTCGGTGGCGGAGGGGGGCTCACCCGCGCATCCTGCTTGGGAATGGTATCTCCCCCTCCAGGGTGTGTGTGGCCCC